AGAGTTGATTCTAATTTTTCACATATTTGAACCATTATACTTTTTATTTCGAACCATTTATTTAAGATAAATTTTGAGTTTTTTTATATCTAGAGTTCGTTATATAGAGAGAGTTGAATGTATTTATTTTTTATATTAAAAAATTTAATACTGATTTTGAACTATAAAATATAAAAAGTATTGCTGGCCAAAATTATTTGATTTAAACTGGGCAGATCATCTTTCTTCGATGACAACCAGTATCTAAAAATCTTTTTTCGATTTAATTTTAAAATGACAACATTCGAAGAAATCAAAAACCAATTTAAGTATGCGACGGATATGTTGGAAAAGGCGGAGAAGAAATTGGATAACAAAGAGAAGACGATATGGGAATTTGTGGGCAAGTTAGACAATGGAAACTGGAGAAACGAAGAACAGAAGAAGGACTGGGAAATGCAGAAAGACGAGTTAAAAAAAGAAAAAGAAAAGCTAATAAAAAATGAAGAAGTTTGGAGGGAGCAAGTCATATTTTTACAAAAGAAATTGACCGAATTTAATGAAGGAAAAGGTAATGAAAAAATTACCATTCCGTTTCAATATTTATTTGATGTACTATTTATAACTTTGACTTACTATGCCGTGTCATTTTTCGTTTTCTCTGTCATAATACCGAATTCTTATTCTTTCCTTCTTATTATTGTTAAATCCACATTCACGTTATCGTAGATCAACCCGGTAAGTGTAATAAAAGCGCGAAATGGCTTGTCTTTGCTTTGGCGCTTTTATATTTGCTAATAATAACGAATACTAATTTAAATCGTGTCTAATAATATTGAATTCATTTTCGCAATTTATTTATATTATTTTCAGAAATTCCAATGGGTAAGTTTCTCATTTCTTCATTTTTTTCTTATCAACTGTTCTTATTCTAAATTTACAATATTTCATTATCTTTAGATATAACTGCTGAGATAGTAAAAAATTAGTTCAACCTCCTGGTCAATTGCCTAATAAGACTTTTCTTAATGATTTCCTTAACGAAAAACCTGAAGTGAAAATACCGCTTTCTCCTGCTCATTTTTCTCAAATATATACTAAGGGTCCAGGATGTATAACTGAAAAAGAACGAGATACTTATTTGTACAAAATACAAAGGAGGAGTGTACGGAGTTATTTATAAAACTTATAGGACATTTAATTTACCCTCCTTCAGTTGGAATGAACGAAGACTCATTTCATGCTTTTTGGGACGATATTATTAAAAATTCGATAGAATTATTTGGAAAAAATATAGTTGGTTTGGAAACAATGAAATTCGATCGAAATACTAACAAAAGAACCTCAACAGGTATATTTAACAGATAGCTGATTGATTGTTAGGAATAGATTGTATATTGACACAAAATTTACAGGTCGCAATCGCCCAGACATGGTTATCTTAGTGAGAAATATTTGTCCTTTTCGTGGGGAAGAAAAGGCGGCAGATTCTGATGCAAATCCTTCGAAGGAATTAACTAAGAAATTCAAAGAATGGATATATGGGGATGCTCCATATCTCCTTGCATACCATGCTACTGGTCGATTTGTCACTTTTGTTACTTTGTATGAGTCTGAACCTGTAAATATTGGGTCAAGTAAGAAGAGAACACGTTCGGAAGTTAAGTCTGAAATGATTTGTGAATTTAATTTAGAAAGTTTTTCGTATAGGATTCGCGTTATGAATCTTCTTCGAAATACTTGCAAGTTTCTTTTGTGGTTTAAATTATTTCCATAAAGCGCTGATTTATATTATTATTTAGGTCGTATATTGCCTACTATAGTAATTTTGTGCCCCGCAAGAGATACACCAGATTTTATTACATTATTACGACCTAATGGAACTATTGTTGAACTTGGGTATAATGTTAAGAAAATATTTAGAGAAGAACGTTCGATTGACCAATTACGAGAAATTTATACAACATTATATGTAAGTATGAACAAGCTTCTCCTTTTTAAGGTACGTTCTAACAATTTATATAGCAAAATAACGTTAGATTTACCGACAAGTTGGAATATACCACTTCGCATTCTGCTCATTTGGAACCACGTGGATTACAACGAAAACCAGGAAATCTCAATGAACTATTGAAAGCATTAATTTGTATATTAACTTGTCTTAAGGTAGAGTTATGGTACGGATGTTCTTAATTGCTTTTATATAATATTCATTCGGAATGTGTTCATGTTCATCTAGGATATGCATAGCATTAAATCAAAACCAATATTGCACAGGGATGTTCGATGGCCAAATATTGTTCAACATCATAATGAATACAAAAAATTCATTTTGATTGATTTCGATTACGCAACTTTAGGTTCCGACAAAAGAGGCATCGTAAGAAAACCTTTAAAAGAATTTTCTGAAACTGGACATGCTCCTGAAATGTTAACTGGTAAACATGATACGAGTGTTATATGGGGGGTTGGATATTTAATTAATTCATGTAATATTTAGCGGTATTCCTGAAAAACTTAGGGAATTTGCATCAAAGTTGTGTCATGATAATCCAAAAAAGCGACCAGCTGCTTCAGATGCACTTGATGAGGCCATAGAGATGTTTAAGTAGGTGATTATTCAGACTGATAAAACAATACTCATTTTTTTTATTTGTAATACAATTTAACAAGTTTTAAAAAATTTCAGTGGTTTCCAAAAAGTTCGTGGCTGGGTAACATTGGAATAGCTTGAATTTATATAAAGATTTTATGATTAAAGATACCATTTTATTGATTAGTGCTCCGAAAGGGTCGGGTCAGACCCGGGTGATCGACCCGACCCGGATTTTAAATCGAGTCAGGGTTGGTAA